ACCTCTTTATCCCTGCTACCCATTTGCTCTTGTCATTCTCTTTTTTCTGAGAACTTCTCCCAATGTATCACTTTAACAAACATCTCCACTTCTGGCCCTACTTCTATAGAACAGGATCTATGATACCACCATTCACGAAAAGGCTGAAAAGAAAGTCATAGAGAAGACACTTTTAAAATACTTAACTGGGACCCTCCCTGGTGGCACAATGGATTAAAGTGCAGCACTATGAAGCTGTTTGCAGCCACTACAGCATGAATTCCATCCCCAGCCAGGGAGCTCATGGCCACCAGACCTCTCCTGACCTGCCCGTTGCTCCCCTCATCAGTGTATTTTAGATCTGTCTGTTCTGTTTCCCATCCTGCCTCTGGTGAAATCTCTCACCCCCCAAATCCTCCCCCCCCCGCACCTCTGGCCTGTACCCCAGTTCTTGTACATGTAAATAAATAAAAAACTGACATAACTAACCAAATGTATAAAAAATCCTGATAAGTCAGTAAGAAAAATGGAAAAATAGGCAATATTTGACTAAGTAGTTCACAAAAGAGCCCATTTAACCGATCACAAAGTGCTTGTTATTAGCAGGACCAAGGAAAGAAAAGTAAAAACACAAGCAATATCATTATTAACCCACAAGAAGCATTTCAAATTTTGAAATTGACAATGCCAAGATTTACAAGTGGAACTTTTATAAATAGCTGGTAAGAAAGTAAACTGATACAATCACTTAGAAAACTGGCATTATCTAGAAAAGCAATTTTGCATCATAATATATAAGCTAAAAAAAGTTGTTCATATACGCAACAGAAAATGTCTAAGGATATTCTTGTTTGTACTGCTCTTTCTAATCAGAAACTGTAAGCAATACAAGTATCCATCAGCTCCAGCAGGAATAAATATGCTGTCACATATCCCTGTCATGAAGTACCATTAGCAAAACCAAGTGAGATCACCAGCTGGACACAGCTTACAAACTGAGAAAAAGCAAAACACAAATCACACACAGTATGACTCTAACTGTGAGAATTTAAATTCTCTATTTCACTAATTTCACAATTACGTGAAAATATTGTTAAGGGGTACAAACTTAGTTGACAAAACTACAAAGAAAAGAAAATAATTATTATCAAAGTCAAGATAGTGGGTTTGGGGGGGGGCAGGAGGTTGTGATTTGAAAGGGGCTGCTACTGGCAGGTTTTCATTTCTTGACATAGGTGGTGATTATATTTCCCTTAAAATGGATAAGCTACCTATACATTTGTGGGTTTTTCTGACATGACTTCTTGATATGTCTCAGATTTTAAAAAGTTCAAAACAAAGACAATGAAAAAAATATACTGATTATTTGATCCTTGAGAAGCTGAGGGAACTGAGAATCCTTCACTTTAAAATTAAGACCTTGTCCCCTGAATCCTTAACAAGGTACAAGCAAGAGAATTTTCAATACGTAATACCCCGTTCTCTTAGGGCTACGGGCGGAAAGACAATCTCCTGGGAACACACCTATGTTTTGCCAAGAGTCACCAGAGGATCCCTCTTACATAGAAAAAGGTAAGAAGAACAGGCACCCAGAGTCCTAGCAGAACTATCTTGTTGAGGCTGTGATTCCTGAGAGCCTTGGTAGGCAACTCCTGGAGAGGTAGAAACAATTTGCCAAAAGTTAGAAAGAGGAGAAAGCCTCCAAACTCTAATAAAAGATTTGAACAGTGTCCCTCCCTGGCAGCGCAATGGGTTAACGTACAGCACTATGAAGCTTCCGCAGCCCCCACCAGGGTGGGTGATCCACATGGTGCCGCAGGCCTAGGCCTCTCCTGACCCGCCTGCTGCTCCCCTCAGCAGTGTGTTTCAGTTAATCTGCCTGTTCTGCTCCCCACTCTGTCTCTGGTGAATCCTCTCCCCCCACACTCACCCCCCTGTACCTCTGGCCTGTACCCCAGTTCTGTATGCATAAAAAAATAAATCTTAAAAAAAAAAAAAAAGCTTTGAACATGGGAAATCTCTTGGGTGGTGTGGGGTGACTCTGAAAAGGACCACTAACGGGAAAAGATCCTATCATTTCCCAAAAGAGAACTCACTGGGAAGCTGGGGGAACACAGCTGGTGATGGACACAACACATGGCCCAGCGTGTGATGCTCTGGAGAGAGGATGAGCAGGTCAGTGCAAAGTTAAAAATCTCTAACCCCGGAATCTAAGCATGGGGTTGAGCTGCAAGGGCTTGTACCAGCAGTGACCTCGTATCTTTAGCCCGATCAGAACAACTCTCCAATAATGTTAGCATCTAGCTGTGTCAGAAATAAAAACTCTGCAGTTCTCTCTCCTTTAGAGAGTGAAGAATGACTTATTTGGACTGTTTAAGCCTCCAGGATGCTTGGAAATAAGAGCCATATAATTTCTCACTAACAAGGGCAGTATAGGCCTTGGGTGATTCCTTGGAAAAGAAAATAAATAGGTGACTACCTTAGAACCCAATTGATGAAATGAAACGCACAGGTTAAACATCTAAGATGAAACAGACAAAACCTCATTCAAATGTCTATCTACCCTTATGTTTACAATATCATGTGTATGAGTAGAAAACTAAATACTTCACTAAGCTAGTAGAAAGACATCAATGAGAGAAATTAGCAGGCGTTGAAAGTCATGATAGGTGACTCAAGAAAAAGGCTTGCCCATTAACACAAACCGCAAAAACGAAATGCTTTTTTTGTGCCATCAATGGGTTCTGTATGACTGAGACATGTAAGTGGAACTTATTTCTTTTACATCTTCCTTGAAAAGCATCTCAGTATATGATTTACTCCTGGTTACCCAGGGCACTATCCTTCCCATCTCTGAGCGTTCTCTCTGGCTTCCTAGCTATACCTTTATCCAAACCCCACTGGATGCCACTTGCATGTAATGATCCCCTCAACTGATCCCCCCAGATTCTGAGCTACCTAAGTCAGAGTCTATATACGCTTTTATTTCTGCTTGTACTTAGGCCCAGTTTTCTTCACCCTGCTACCAATACATGTTTGTTAAAGAAAAGAAAGAAAGAAAAGGCGTATGATATGGAGGGGGAGAGGGAGAGAATGGGGAAAAATGGAGGAAGAGGAAGGAGAGGAGGGAGAAAGGGATAGAATGCACTGCAACTAGAAAAAACAAGACCACCATAAAACCAGAAACCCAGAATGAAATGGAGACTGTTTGACCACCTATTACTTAACAGCTACTAGTGCTATCATAAAAACACAATCCAGCTGATAACCATGGAAACCAAAATGAAGGCACTGTGGTAAGGGTAGCTCTTTTCAGAAATCTGAAAACAAGAAGAGGCCTGAAGCCAGAAAGACAAAGAAATCCAAGTGCTCCAGGCCAGAAGGAAATCCTTTCCTAAAAGCCCTGACAAAGCAGCATTTTCTGCAGTCTCTAACCTCTCACCAGGCTTCAACAAGGCTCTGGAACTACTGTGACTGATCATGCAACAATGCAGGCCTCTCTGTGTGCTTCTGTCCCTTGAGGTCAGATGTTATGAGACAAGCTCAGTGGGAGATGAAACTTATTGTTATTATACAATATACTGAGAACCAGCAGAGGGAGATTGTGTGTGTGTACACACACACACACACACACACACACACATATACAGTTTCTGAGATCTCCAGTTACTGTTCAGTGTACAAACAGTGGGTACTTCATAAATACTTGCTGAATAAATGAAGAATTAGGTTAGAATGCAGAAAAGCACAGTAACTGGCAAATAGTGAGCATTCTTTCCATCCACTGTCAGCATTCTATGGGGTTCTGAGCAAAACCAAAATCCTGTCCTCCTTCTGGGTCCAGTTTCTCCATGTGCAGGAGGAGACAGCTGAATGAGGTGGTGTGCCAGGCCCCTTCCAGCTGATAGTCAATCACTGTGCTGTGCTTTTTTTGGTGGCAGCACACACTTGGCACTTTTCTTCCCCTTCAGAGGGAATCTGATACCCATCTGCTCCAGTAAATTAATGTTCCTATCCTGCCTGGCTCATTTGGAAGGAACAACAGGTTCACATGCCAATTGTAAAGGAGAAGGCAAGGAGGCCCAGAAAGAGAAAAGGGGGAAAGGGTCCCACTTGCCTCCTTTCTTAGGAAACCAAAGCAGCACTGTTTTTAAAGACTAAATATGCAGAAAATGAAATGGGATGATACTAAAAACCTTTCACGGAGCACTCTTTAGCTTACTAACTTAATAAGACTTAGTATCAATGTATCCAGCATTTCTGTGATTGGCATTGAGCTAAGGCCTTTACACTTAAACCTCAGAGCAACTTCACAAGCTAAATACTAATATTAGCTTCTTTCAACAGAAATGAGTTCTATCTGACTCAAGGTCACAGCTAGTAAGTGGCAGAACTAGGACTTGAACCCAGGTCCTTTAAATGGCTTCCCATAGATGGGAAAGGAGCAGGGCAAGGGTTAAGATTAGGCTGGGCAAGGCTTATCACCTGTACTTTAAAGATGGGGAAACCGAGTCTCCAGGAGGCTTGCAATTTGCACAAATTGCAGACACCTTGGTAGGTGTCCGACCGCAGACACTCGCTCCCGCGTTCCTGGGTGAAGGTTTTTCCTATCCCAAAAATGTGCTGCTGCCTCTAGACTTCACTTACACAGTCGCAAAAGCTCGGGGCTGAAGGCAACAGTGGAGATCCACCTTCCCGGACGCGTCGTTTTACAGTAGGGGAAACCAAGGCACGGCTCCTCGGCGCGGCTGAGCCTCCAGGTGCCAGCAGAGTGCGGGAGCGCGGGGCCGCGAGCGGCCTGAGGGCACCCCTTCCCGATCCCGCCGGGGCCAGCAGCTCAGCCTCAGCCAGGGCCGAGCGGCGCCTCCTCCGCCGGTCGCCTGGCGCCCCAGGTCCTTGGGAACAGCCCAGACGCCCGAGCCCCCTCCCCCGGGCCGCCCCCAGCTCCGGGACCTGGACATCCCGGGTTTGCGGGCGGAATAACTTCGCCCGCTGCCTCTGCCGACCCGGCCGTCTCTTACCTCGCCGGGAGCTCTCCGGGGCGCTCCGCCACAGCAGTGCGGGCCGC